GACGGGAAATAAACAGTACAACAAGATCTTTTCCGTTTTTGTGATGAGATGAAAACAAAAATAGAAGAGAAAAAAAACACAAAGAGAAATTGCACACACAAGATTTACCGAGGTTCAGCTCAAATTGAGCCTACATCCTCACCCGCCCCTTCTTCACCATTTCCACTATAATCAAATAAAAGCTTACAAAGGATCTTCTCTCAAGGTTGTATAACTTAACTTGAAGATCACTTTCTCTCAAACTCACTTAAGGATTACAACTTTCTCTCAAACTCACTTGAGGATTTACAGATTGTATGTAGTTCTTGTTCTTGCTTCTTGTTTTCAACATTCATCATCTCCCCTCTATTTATAGGGAGGATATGTCTCTTGGGTATGCCACATTCATTGCATGGGGAAGTCCAAAGACTAGCCCTTCCTTTTCCCAATGCATGGGGAAAGACAATCTATCAATACATGCATGTAGTCAACCACAAAATCTCTATTGATTAAATCCATATTAATTCATCATGGGGATAGACCCCGTTCCCATCAATCTCCCTCTCCATCCTCATGACGAGAAAGTTTTCAAACAGTAGTCATACATGTCTTTCTTCGGCAGAAGTCATGCTTCTCTTTTGGTAGATGCATCGTCATCATGTTAGACGGATTTTAGCTTGTATCAATCTTCTTAATGTCCATAAGACGATTCTCCAAAGCATCACGGATCCAATAAAGGCATACATTTATATGTTTTTGTCCTTGAGTGATAGGTAGCATTGTTTTGTCCTTGTGAAAAAGATTATTTTCTGAATTACATAGTTGGTTGTTCATAAATTTATGACTTTTAATTTTGATTACCTGATATGCCATGATATTATTGTACATGATCAGTTGTATTTTTTATTTCTTGTTTTGATTAAAAACTGTTAGTAGTCATGATCGTACTGGCCTTGCATGACCTAGAGATATGTGTTGTGTTGACTTAGAAAAATAAAAAGAGTTAGGATGGGAAAGTTTTTGTTCATGTGTTCGGATGTGGCTATTGATGTATCTTCCAGGCTCGCACCAGTGAGTTTGTATAGCACTAGGGTTGGTTTGTTGAGTCAAAGTGAAGTTTGTGTAGTCACTTTGGTCAGTGAGTTTGATATTCACCCGAGTTTAGCTTAAGTTCGGACCAGGCTAAAAACGGATTGCATGTAGTCCTCTAACCAAGTTTGTGTAGCTGTATTGGATGCACGTAGGAGATATGCGAGCATTCAATTATCCGATAATATGAACGTTGACTCTATGTGAGATGTAAATTAGTGACCTGTTATAGAATGATTAGTTACAAACCCTCGTTACCCAGTTGATTTTTAGATTCTTATGATTATTATGATTTAGTGGTGGATGATTAGTTACAAACCCTCGTTACCCAGTTGATTTTTAGATTCTTATGATTATTATGATTTAGTGGTGGATTGCATTTTGATTTCCCTCGTTACCCAGTTGATTTTTAGATTCTTATGATTATTATGATTTAGTGGTGGATTGCATTTTGATTTGTTAGATTTCCAGTTACACGTTCTATTTTCATTTCTGTTGTTGCATCGGTTATTGTATTGGTCATTCGACCATTCTATTTTTCTTTTGTGGGGTCTTGCTGTGTGCCATGCAAGCTGACGTACACCTGTTTTCTCTGGTATATATCAGATTTAGAGGACGGACAGGTCCAGTATGGAGATGCCTTACAGTCAGAGTGTATTCCAAATGGAGTAGAAGTGCAAGCTGGAACCTAGTCTTTTCTTTCTGTAGTTGCCGAGGGATATTAGATTTTTATGTAGTATTTTCTCTTCTAGTATTTGAGGGATTTAGATATTTTTTACAGTACTTCCTTTTTATTTTTGTTGGACTATGTATTTTTATATTTTGTTGGACTATTTTGTAATAATGGCATGTTTGACCCAAACTTTGTGTTTCTCATGATATACTATTTGTGATGACTTTTTATTCTGAGTTGTTTATTATATTCTTGCTAATTATGATCAGGAACCAGTAACTTCGTATTTTATATTGCTTTACGCTTAGCGTATTAGGTTGAAAAAATATTTTTATTTATTCTCTTCAATCTAATACGTCGCGGGCTAGTTCACGTTCTGATCCCCCGGTATTTTGGGAAGCGGGGTGTGACAGTTTTTTTTGGTGGCCTATGCAGGTCACGGTCTTGAGTTCCTACCAGTGAGAATTTAATGAATAATTTAGATGCATATCATATTTCATCCGTAAAACTATAGTTAGCCCTTATCCTATCATCTCAATGAATTATGTCTTAATCCCTACTTTATCACTTTTTGACTCAGGAGCTTCCCATCGTTTTTTTTGTCTCGTCGCTCCCGACTATACTTTTGTTCCATATCTCTGTCCTTGGGTTCTTCCTTATTTTAATTCCAATGGCGGAATTTACTTTAAGGGGAGGTAGAATGTAATGACCGTAAATTTTTGATACTAGTTAAAATAATTTTTTTGGTATTTTAAAAAATTCAATAATTATTTTTAAAAGAGTATTTGTATTTTTTTTCTTGAATTTTCTATGATTTAAAATCCAGAATATATTTATTTTAATGATTTTACTATTATAAATTAAATTGTTAAACTAATACTTGATAGTTTATTACTATTATTATTATTGTTAATGACTATCTTATATTGATTATTTTAGCCTATTCAATTCTCTCGTATTTTTGCTATATTTTATGTATTATTTTCTTATTTTTAGTGTATTTTCTTTAAACCCTAACCCTAACCCTAACCTAACACACACACACACATACATATATATTATTATATATAATATATAAATATATATACATATATCATATATATACATATATATTATACATATATATAATATTATATATATTAATATATATATTTAATAATATATATATATAATATATATATATATAATATATAATATTATATATATATAGAGAGAGAGAGAGAGGAATGCTTCTCGATGGCGAAACGATTTTTCGCATCAAGCAACGTGCGAAGATCTGTGCCGTTGGATTTAACGAAACGGTTGATCGCAACTTCAACATACGGCCCTCACAGCCGCTCTCGTGAACCCCATTTCCCAGCTCCCAGAACTTCCACAGACCTTCATCTCTCTTCTCTCCCCCAAACCCTCCCCTCCTCCCTCTCCGCCTCTCGATGAACCCTAAAGCACCACTGCCCCAAACACTCTCCTAGTGTCGAATGAAGTTTGGAAGTTTCGATTCTTGCGGCGAATCGAGGAGCTGCTTCGTCCTCTTCCTCTTTCCCTAATCCAAACCCTATGACGCTTCTACCGTACGGCGCCCCCTCCCCTCCCGTCCTCGCTCGACTCCGATCACTCCCTGCCTGCTAACACGTCGCCTTGGCTGGATCCGCATCCGGTTCCTCTTCAATTGAGGTGCCGATAGCTCAGGTCCAACTCTTGATCTGCTTTCTTTTGCCTTTGGGTCTTTCTTTTTTAATCTTGTAGACCCTAAATTGACAATATTAGCATCTTTCAACTGAAATTTCTTTAGTCGGAGGTAAAAGTGGTAATACATAGGATTAAATTTCATTTGTGATGAGTTTCATCTTGAGATCTTGCTCCAATTTGAGCTCTGGTTTTTGCTCCGATTTCGAGCTCTGATTTCTGGTGTTTCGTGCTCTGTTTGAGCTCTGATTTGTTCTGAGTTCATGCTAAAATGATAACTAATGGGGCAAAACTGACTGCAATGATGTACCCCCCTCCTTATCAGCTCCATGAGCATTATTGTCTATTTGATCACGACTCTCTTTGCAACCGACTTTTTTGAAATTAAGGCAGTGAAGGAGATTGAGCCTGCACTAAAGAAGCAGCTCAATATCGCTACTGCACTCTCTTTGCGGTTGATTTGGCATGTTAGTTGTTGACTGTTTTCATTATTTATTGAAACTGATAATACATTCATGATGATTATCTTATCAGATTTAAATTTCATCTTTTAATGGAACCTCAACAATTACTTGATGCTATCATATGCCTATTCTGATTCATGACAATACTGTTGAAGTGTCTGCGTGTAAATTTTTTATTGACCTTGTGCTGCAATTGTAGAAATTTATGGTCATCAGTTGATTCAGTTCAAATACTTAACAGATCATTGTCCTTGACCTGAATACAACATGAAAATAAATTTATTTTATTCCTTGGAACCTAATTACTTGCTACTTCACATTTTAACTCATTTCATATGTAGCATTCATGTAATTCAATTTGGTGAACATATTCTTATATCATGAAACTTCATAGCACTAATTTGGTGAATATAGTTGTCATGAAATTTGCAGTTAGGCCAAGTTGTGAAGAAGAAGAAGAGCAATCTTGGGAGAAGAAGAAAAGACTAAATAGTTTCTCCGGGATGTCTGTAGAAAGTTTCTCTTGGATGTTCAATTGCTATATGATCTTTATAAAGTGGATGTCAATTGCTATGTGAGATCTTCATGTGGTTAAAATGAGTCTTATGCTGTACTACTTAATGTATGAACGGTGTAATGTTTTGTGTTCAATAATTAGAAGATGTTGAAAGACAGGAATTGCTGCTTATATCGTGGTTGTGTTCTTTTATTTTTTAATGTTTATAGTATGTTTTCTCTAAGTGCCGTTAAGTGGCGTTCATCTATTAACATTACATGACTGTAGTCTTAATTTTTCTTCATGTTAAATTGTGCTTAAAAGTTGATGTATTGTGTCATTTTGCACATCATTGGAAGAAGAAGCTTAAATCATACTAGTTTGCACATAAAAGACAGTACTCAGAGTAGTTCTTTTGTATGGCATAAGCGTGCACAGAGACACGGACTCTGCAATATCTGAATTAACCAAAATCCAAACACATACTGACAATAGATCATCTCCAACTTGTACCCGTCATATATTAAAAAACAGTAACAGGGAAATCTTTTGAATCCAGGTTACATCTCGGCCAAAGCAATCCAGATTACACAAATAACAACAAACAACAAAAGATTCGAAGAGAGTATATACACAAATCGCAAAGCCAAGGCACAAACAAACAATCACCGACCAAACCAAATCTTTTGAGGCTGGATCATCCCCTCCTCCATCGTTCATAAGCTTATCAAGCACCACATTAAGGTCCATTGCTTGCCCATTCTCTGTCAGTTCACATTAAGGTGCTCTGGAAGAAGATTGATGTAGCTTTGCTAGCTGGAGTTGAGCCTCAACTATCTCATGTTTGTCATGGAGAACTTGAACACCTGTTTGAACCTGCACAGTTCAGCATATCTTTCACAAAGTAGGTGATCCTCCTACTTCTATAAGTTCATGCCAAATCCAATGGGGGAACTTGGTTAGAACCACAAATAAGTAGAGCATTTAGAGACATATCATGGCCAAGTCATTACACGGAGAGCAAGACTGAAACCAAAGGTCAATTAACTGAAACAAATATAGTTGGAAATTTAGTTTGCACACAACTAAAACTAGAAACCAATATAATGCAAACTGAAACCAATCATGAATCAAACTGAAAGATTAGTAGGTTTGAGCTCCACAACTCCAACCTTGGAATTTACACATAATATAATACAAACTGAAACCAATCATGAATCAAGAGCCAAGCTGAAACAAAGGCCAAGCTGAAACCATGCACAGAATAGCAGGAGGAAAAACAAATTGACACTCAGGCACATAAAACATACCTCAAATATATTGCAATATATTGCCTCAAAAGAAATTCATGAAAATGTCTTCAGAAAAGGCCCTTTTTTTCAATATCTGCCTCGCCATGAAGTTTATAATAGCAATGTTGGCTGCAATATATTGCCTCACCAATATATTCCTGCTATAAACTTTGGCTGTATATTTTAAAAATAGCCCATCATCATAACACAAAATATGCATCAAATAAAAGATAAAAGTACATAAGCATCAATTGCCAATGGCAATTGTGCTCAACATTCCAAGAGCAACAACAGCAATACCATACATCGTAGCCAAGCTGAAACTAGTTTATGAGACCAGCCCATAAACCAATAGCAACACATAAGAAAAGCTCCCTGCCAATTCCAACTCAAACAAATTAGATAACAATATATGAAACAAGACTCAATGGTAGCTCCCTGTCCCTGTCAATTCCGACTGAAAAAAATAGATAATTATATGAACTAGTTTAAAATAGTTTTGGCTTACCAGTTCTTCACTTCCTTCTGGACACCAAAATTGAAGATGGTAAAGGAAGCTGGAAGAGCTCCCCAACTAACAACAGTGATTCCAACATTCGTAAGTGCAGTAGCAATAATGAGCTGCTTCTTTAGTGCAGGCTCAATCTCCTTCACTGCCTTAATTTCAAAAAAGTCAGTTGCAAAGAGAGTCGTGATCAAATAGACAATAATGCTCATGGAGCTGATAAGGAGGGGGGTACATCATTGCAGTCAGTTTTTCCCCATTAGTTATCATTTTAGCATGAACTCAGAACAAATCAGAGCTCAAACAGAGCACGAAACACCAGAAATCAGAGCTCAAAATCGGAGCAAAAACCAGAGCTCAAATTGGAGCAAGATCTCAAGATGAAACTCATCACAAATGAAATTTAATCCTATGTATTACCACTTTTACCTCCGACTAAAGAAATTTCAGTTGAAAGATGCTAATATTGTCAATTTAGGGTCTACAAGATTAAAAAAGAAAGACCCAAAGGCAAAAGAAAGCAGATCAAGAGTTGGACCTGAGCTATCGGCACCTCAATTGAAGAGGAACCGGATGCGGATCCAGCCAAGGCGACGTGTTAGCAGGCAGGGAGTGATCGGAGTCCGAGGCGAGGACGGGAGGAAGGGGGGCCGCTGACGCGAGAAGCTAGGGTTGATTAGGGCAAGAGGGAGAGAAGCTAGCAGCTCTGCGATTCGTCCGAGAATCGAAATTCCAGCTCAAATCGAGACTAAGGGAGGCAGGGTTTGGGGCGGCGGTGCTTTGGGGTCTGATCGAGAGAGGGAGAGGGATGGAGGGGAGGGTTTGGGGAGAAGGAGGGTGAAGTTCTGGGAAGTTCTAGGAGGCTGGAATATGGGTCTACGAGATGGGTGAGGCGTATTTGAGTTGGGATCAAACCGTTCGTTAAAATCCAACGCACAGGAATCGTTTCGCTAGTTGCTGTGCAAAAATCGTTTCGCCCGACAGATTTCGCCTCTTCTCTCTCTCTCTCTCTATATTATATATATATAATATATATATATATAATTATATATATATATACATTTATAAATTCTTCTTCTCCTTTTTCACTGGTGCACCAAGCCCTGCCGTCATCTTCTTCTCTCTCCTCAGCTTTTTCTCACCTGCTCTCTCCAAACAACTCTCTCTCTCTCTCTTCTCATCTCCTCCGTCTCGTCTCATCTCTCATCTCTCTCTCATCTCTCTCTCTCCGAACTCTTCTCTGCGCAGTGAGGAATAGAAGCATAGGTACGCGTCGACCGAAACTGCGGTCGACCCCATTTCTGATACATCCGCAAACACAGCTATTTTTCTACTCAACTAAAATATTTTGGAAATATTTATTTTGACCTCTAAAAATTATAAAACTGTTCGGTAAAAGGTTTTTTAATGCTAAAAAACAAACTGTTTGAAAAAGAATTTTGCAGATAGGTCGCTCATAACTTTTAAAAAAAATAAGTATTTTGTGAAAAACGCTTAAAAACATTAGTATGAAAACGTGTGCGTGATATCCCAATAGCTTTCAAGTGGAAGTTCAATAACTCTTTGCGCCTACATTTAATCAACTAGATGAGAAAAAATAAAAAGATAGATAATAATCCTTATATAGAATGCAAATGCTTGAGTCTTGATATAGCCTTGAATTTGATGAAGCTGTTATTTGAAATTTGTCTGTTCCTTGAAATAACGTTTTCACATATGCACATTCCTCTCCTTTGATTATCATCGTTGTAGCGGCATATTCCATCCAAATCATTCATAGTGCACTATAAGCTTGAATATTGTAATTTCACTACATTTGTAGTTAATAAGGCCATTAGTACCGATAATGGTGCGTTGATAAAACATCATCAAAACAATAAGGGCTAACAAAAAAGTCATATCACAAATGAAATATCATCTGAACACAAAAGTTTGGTCAAACATTCCCTTATTACCAAATAGTCCAAAAAAATATAAAAATACATAGTCCAACAAAATAGAAGGAAATTACTATAAAAATATCTAATCCCTCAAATACTAGAAAGAGAAATACTACATAAGAAATCTAATATCCCACGAACACTACACACAAGAAAAGACTAGGCTCCAGCTTGCTTCTTCTTAAGCTCGTCTGGATTACACCCACGCAAGGCATCTCCTATACTGGACCTGTCCGTCCCCTCTAAATTGGATGATAAAGCAAAGAAAGACTGTACATCAGTTGCATGACACACGGAAAGACCCCAAAAAGATAAATATAGCAACGGTCAAAATGACGCCAATACGCAATAAACGCGAGCAACAAACAGAAAATGAATAATAAGAACGATGTAAACTGGAAATTCTAACAAATCAAATTACAATCAGTACTCAAATCATAAATAATATGAAGAATCTAAAAATCAACTGGGAGGTAACGAGGGTTTTGAACTAATCATCCTATAACAGGTCACTAATCCACATCTCACATAGAGTCAACGTTCATATTATCGGCATAACTGAACTACCGAGCATACGCCCTATTGTCGCTATCGAAATGCCGAGTCACAATTTGTCCACTACACATGGCAGAGACAACGCCAATCCGTTTTTAGTGTTTTGGTCCGAACTCAAGCTATAACTCGGGTTGGCTATCAACTCACTGACCAAAGTTACACTACAAAACTTCGAGCTTTTACCAACAAACCAACTACAAGTACTACACAAACACAGCTGGTGCGAGCTTGGAAGGATACATACAGATAGCCACAATCCGAAATACATGAACAAAGACTTTTCCGCATCCCAACTCTTTCTGTTTTTCTAGTCAACATAACCACATATTTTTAAGGTCACGTAAGGCCAAGCTACAAAGTCATGACTAATAATGATTCTCAATTCAAAAAGAAAATAACAAATACAAACTCGATCAATGTACAATAATATCATGGCTATATCAGGTAATCAAATTAAGAGTCAATAAATTTATGAAGCAACCAACTATGTATATTCAGAAAAGTATCTGTTTTTTGCACAAGACAATTTATTTTAAATTATTCTCTCGTTATAATAATTCTAAAATAATTCTTTTTTTTCAAAATCAAATTCGTTTAAATTATATTATAATTATTCATAAAATGATTCTTTTTTTCCAAAAATAAATTCTTTTAAAATTAATTATAAATTATCTAAAATGATTCTGTTTGCCAAAATAAATTAATTTAAAAACATCATAATTATCCTAAAATAATTATTTGGACACAAATAAATTCTTTAATTCCTAAAAATGCACTTTATTCATATTACTATGATTTATTTAATATTATATTCTCAAACCAATCCCACATAGATAATATATATCACGAAATCTAATATATAGATAATCAAAGTACAATATAAAATATCAGTAATTAACAAGTGGTATACAGGGATCTGGCTTAGAGGCCAAGGGGAGACGACAACAACAACAGGCTGTGCGCAGCGGGGCTAGAATAGTTGCGGTGATGGGTGCGATGTGGCGGGCCGACGGGGAAAGAGTAGAGGGAGGCGGGTCAGTGTTGAAGCGTTAGACGATAGTTGGAGGAGCCGTGGAGGGCTGAGAGTTTGAGGCAGGAACGAAAGCTTTGAGGAAGAAGGAGAAGAGAAGGGAAGGCGGTATGCGAGCTCGAGGAAGGAGAAAGAAGAGGCGGTGTTTGAGCCGGAGAAATGAGAGAGAAGAGAGCCAAAGCAGGAGAGAGAGAGAGAGAGAGAGAGAGATGAGAGATGAGAGAGACGAGAGAGAGAATGAGAAGAGAGAGAGAGAGAGGTTTGTTTGGAGAGAGCAGGTGAGAAAAAGCTGAGGAGAGAGAAGAAGATTGACGGCAGGGCGTTGTGCACAGTGAAAGAAGAAGAAGAAGAATTTATAATTATATATATATATAATTATATATATATATATATATATATATAATATATATGAGAGAGAGAGAGAGAGAGAAGGGAAATCTGCGGGTCGAAACGATTTTTGCACAGCCAACCTAGCGAAAACGATTCCTGTGCCGTTGGATTTAACGAACGGTTTGAATCGCCAACGTCAAAGTACGGCCCTCACCCCATCTGACAGTAGACCCATATTCCCAGCGCTCCCTAAGAACTTCCAGAACTTCACCCTCCTTCCTCCCCAAACCCTCCTAACCGTCCCCCCATCCCTCTCCCTCTCTGATCAGACCCCAAGCACCGCCGCCCCCAAACCCTGCCTCCCTTAGTTTCGATTTGAGCTGGAAGTTCTGAATTCTCGACGAATCGAGAAGCTGCTAGTCGTTCTCTCCCTCCTTTCCCTAATCAACGCCTAGCTTCTACCGGTCAGCGGCCCCCTCCCTCCGTCGCTCGCCCTCAGTGCAGCGCGACCGTGACTGTTGTTGTTGTCGTCTCCCCTTGGCCTCTAAGCAAGATCCTGTTACTCAGCTTGTTAATTACTGATATTTTATACTTGTTATTGATTATCTATATATTAGTTTGTGATATAATTATCTATGTGGGATTGTTTGATGAATAATATTAAATAAATCATAGTAATATGATAAATAGCATTTTTAGAATTAAAAGAATTTATTTTGGCCAAATAATTATTTTTAGGATAATTATGATGTTTTAAAATAATTTATTTTGGCAACAGAATCATTTTAGATAATTATAATAATTTAAAAGAATT